CAGGTACAGCGCCACTGCTACAACACTGGTAGTAGCAGATTATGTGGAAGATGCATTTTTCAATCCCTAAACCCTAATCTGTAAAGCCCTGATATATACCCTAGGCGTACCTGCGAAGATGAAACGATGGGGGCACTTGGCCATTCTTGCGGAGTCCGGAGACCTTGTTGCGAAGGCCTGCGCCTTTAAAAGGGTTTATAGGGGGGTTATATAGGGATAGCATAGGACTATATAGGGTTTAGGGATTAGGGTTTAGGGTTCCCAAAATTCGGGGTACTCCTTGAGGGTCCCGAGAATCAGGATTAGGGTTTTTTTGGGTCTATATTGGGGTCGCCATATTGCCAGTTGATTGCTTCCAGACTTCCCATTCCTTGCAAACTTTGCCTTACATGACTTTAGTCACAAGGGCTCGAGATGTGCCTGTGTCGATTCAGCTGTCATTTGAGCTATAGTCTAAACTCCTAGTATCCCCCCTAATAACCCCAAAATAATCCCTTATATCACCCCCTTGACGGAGTTAGACTATGGCTGATTTCATCTTTTGCTTGGGATTTCCTGCGCAGTTGGGTTAGGAGGTCAGAGCTTTAGATGTGGTTGGGGCGCTTGCTTCGCAAGGCCTAAAGACTGAACACATCTGCGTGGGCCAAGATATGTATACATGGGTGCATATACGGATATAGGATTCTGCGTGTGTATGTAGGCATATAGGCGCGAGGCTGCATCTTGCCAGTTTGGGCCGACTTATTAGCATAGCTGCTTAGCTCAAAGAAGGTGAGCAGACAGCTCTTGGAAATCTGCAGGAGGCCTGGGACGAAAGCACTTTCCGAACAACTGCGCCGGGTGGCGAACTCTACACGTCAGGGCCCTACTATAGGCATGAGGCAGTGTAGTGACTTGGAGCGAAATGCAGATCCCAGGCCCTGTGAGCCTGAGCACTGGCACATGCATGGCTGGAAGGCAATGGCATCGGCTATTCGCGTGTGGCACACTTCCAGATGGCCAGCGCGGTGCGCTTGAGCTCCATGGCTTCGAACCCCCCTTAGGCCGCCTCGAGTCTCAGTACTTCTTACTGCCGAGTTTTGTCCTTATAGTAGATTCCATTCTCTTTTCCATTATCCCTATATAACCCCTATATACTATAGTAGTTTCCATTTTTTCCATTATCCCTATATAACCCCTGTACTGCCTTGTGGTGTTTCATCTCTGCCTCCTGAGCCAGTTCATTCAAGGCTCCACTGGTCAGAGGAGGATGGCTATGGCTACAAGGTCATTTGGGTGCGCGGATGGGTAGGGAGCAAGGCCCCTCTCGATTTCACAACTCAGCGTGTGAAGCGAGACTACATATTCACGAACTCTGATTGTGGAGTCCAGTGAGTTGGTTTGAATGCTACTTACCTCTGCCATCAGCAGAGCGCGCTGCTGAGAACACATGTGCAACAGTGCACCACGTTGAGTTGAACTCGAACTTTGGCCGCGGCTTGTGAACGCCGAACTCCTGGCTGCCTACATTTGGCGAGGATGATGTTGGAGAAAGGTCTGGACCTTGAGCTTCCATTCAAAACTGCAGACGCTTCTCGGAATGGATGGATGGATGTTGATGAGCTGCTAAGAATCCGAGGAGACTTTGAGGAGACTTGACAAGCGGGCATATCGCGGAATGTAAGTCAGTCAGCTTGGGCGCGCAGCTCACAAAAAAAGCTGCTACAGTTGCATCCATATACCCGCACCTGCTCATTGACCTAGCTTGTCACGTCCAGAAGTGATGGACCTTAGTTAGTTGCATCCCTCCTGAGGCGCTTTCTGTGCCAGTGACTCGCAGTCTTTCTCCGTGCTGGGGACGGCCAAGGGTGGAATTTACTTCCTGAAGTGCGCAGATCATTGAGAAGTGAAGGTCAGAGCTCTTGTGTAAACCACTGCAAGCCAAAACCCAGACCCCTTAAAGGATCCCAAAAATGGAACCCCTGACAATCCCCTAGTTACCCCAATGTAGTAATGGGTTCATATTGGGGGGGGTTCCATTTTTTGGATCCTTTAGGGGGTCTGGGAACCAGGTACAGAAGTGGCTTTACCTTGCGTGTTTACCAAAGGAGGACCTGGGAGATGATGTGATGCTCTTTGTCACTCTAAGGTTAGAAGTGTGGGCCCCTAATGGGAGCCCTTAGGCTTTTTAAGGGGATTCTAGGGTATATATTAGGAGGACCCCCCACCATGTATAGTGGTATAATAAGAATAGAAGAGGACGATAATGTAATTCCTATTATCCCTTATAGTCACTATTACTGGGTGGGGGGTCCACCAAGGTATATAGTCGGTGTATAAGGATCCCAGGGTCAAGGGCGCATACTGTGTCTTGGCAGAGGCGGGAGGATATCGAAGAGTGGCCCGCAGCTGGTGGTCTGGGGCTTGGAGTACCTGAATGGACAGCTTTGCCCCGGATGGTGTGAGCTCTAAACCACCGGCAATTGCCAGGGTTCCTGTGTGCTTAGGGTTTAGGGCTAATTCAGGGACTTGTATTGAAGTTTGCAGGATTTTTTTTGGAGCTCATCATCGTAGCCAAGCTAAAACATCCTGTCATCCGACCCAAAGAACCAATCCACGGTACTAGTACCAAGCCAAGCCCACAAAAGCCCACGCAAGGAGCCGTTTACAGATCTTCGAAGCTGGAACCAACGCTCAGGGATTCAGTTTGCCCAGACATCCGCCCTTCAGGGTTGCCATTATTTTGCAGCCTTCGTCAGTGCTTGGCAAGGTGGCGCAGCTGCCAGCTCAAGCTCTGTGCGGAGCCTTGAGATGTGTGTTTCAAGTGCTTTGCCGTGGATCATGGACTGCTTTCCCGATGATCGGGCACCCGAATCCCACCACCAGCTTCAATAAGTCAGAGTCTGGAGATCCGTGCTGAGGGATTCACCTCTGAGATTGTCTCCTGCGATGGCCCGACTAGCCCCTGCGCGGCAGGACTTGGGTTTTTTCCGCATCTAAGTTGAAGCGTTGGCTGACTTGAATCGCAACGCGGTTTGGAGCTGGCTCCTTGTTTGGCGTGACCAAGGACTAGCAGCTTCAGAGGGCAAAGCTTGGAAAACAAACAGTAAGCAGTGCTCCGTTGTGATGGTCACCTACAACTAGAAGGGTAATGGACCGAGTGGACAATTGTTTGGGTGTAATCTTCGCTGGCCTGAGCCTCCCCCCCCACCTGTATGAAACCTCCACTTCAAAGATGACAGGAAGTCCCACAGAGCGCATCGGCAGCCTGTGGCCAAGATGCATGTGCTGGATCCCGAGATCCCAGCTCAATCGCTGAGCCCAGGTCCTCCGAACAGCCCACTCCCCGGTTGCAGTTTGCAGAGTTCTTGTAGGCGGCAGATGATTTGCAACGATTGTTTGCAGCTTGGACACGCGAATGGTCGTCTTTTTATGTCAAGCTTGGGAGCACTGCGTTTCGCAATGTCTGATCTTTGCCTGCGTCTCGTCACAGCCTGCAGCTGGCTCTAGTGTCGACACACAGCAAAGCAGGGGAGCCAGATCAGCTTCATCAACCATCTACCACGAAACGGCAGCCACTCATAACACACTTGCAGCAGGAGAAAAGGTTTGATGTTCAAAATAGGGCCTTGGGCACGCTTGTAAAAGACAACCCCTTTGAAGCAAATTTTGCGCAGCCCTTTATGTTTTGCATCCTGTTGCTTTGGTGTGAACAGCTGTGAAAGCACCAGGTAATCATCCCACAGGCAGTCTCCATAAAGAGCGTGTACTTTCTTGATCATGCCGATATACTCCAAGCGTGCGCGCACCCAGCTGGCAGCGCACATGCCTTAGTGCGAGGATCGCTGTGGTCCCGTGCGTCCTGTGAATACCTTCGCCTTGTGGCCGAAGCTGTTCTTCAGAGTTGTGTGAGCGGAATAGACTGAAGTGCTTGGCCTACGAGGCAGCGGAGGCCTCTTAGCTCCTATCAGATCTTGAGTCATCTCGCCAGGGCCTTGAGGAGTGCTGTTGATTGTGTGAAGGTTGGTCTTGATAGGCATTGTTGGGGAAAATTTCCTCTCCTGCCCTTGGCGAGGCAACCTTTTTCTGCATTGGATGCTTTGCTGCACGGACCTGAGCACTGCATGCCGGAACATGCTCAAGCCATCTGCATGTCGGTGTTAAAAATATTGAACTGGACTACTTGCTCCACAGGCGCTGGTGGTCCCTTCATGGTGCAGCGGCGATGCCGACACCTGGGCACCTGCGCTGGTGCGGCCCAGGGATTAGCATGGGTAAGAGGAGATTCTCGTCATAGCCACTGCCTCACGATGCACCAGCCCATAGCTGTGTCTAAACATTCTAAATCAGCTTCCTCTCTGACAATTGCCCTGTTTTTACATCTGTAGGCGGATCTGCCGTTTTGGGAATTTCCTGTTGCTCAGCCTGGCTCGAGTAACATCCTGTCCGTAAGATGGCCCCACCTGGAAGATGTACCGGTCCGATGTGCGCTGGCTTCAGACAAAGGGGCTGTGGCAACAAGCCCTGGGTCTTCTGGAGAGTGCGCACTTGCAACGCAGGCGTCTGGACGCGGTGACGTATGGGAGTCTGGTGGGTGCGTGCACTAAGGCCAAACAGTGGCAGGCTGCAGTGTCGTTGATGTCGGAGGCGGAAAGCTCAAGGCTGCATCTGAACGTGGTGACCACCAACATGGCCATGGGCGCCTGCGCAGCATTTGGGGAGTGGGAGGTCGCTGTGGCTCTGCTGTCCAGGCTGTCCAGTCTGCCTGCCCCTGTACCACCGGATCTTGTCAGCTACAATGCTGCCATCAATGCCTGCAAGGAGGCCAGTGCCTGGCAAAAGGCCCTGGGTCTCTTCCAGGAGCTGCACTCCAACAGGCTGCAGGCAGATGCCATCACGCTCGGCGCTGTCATCAGCGCCGCCAAGCATGGTTACTGCTAAGCTGTGTACTTGATTCACTATATTCATTGTATTCGGTATTCTTTCTCCTGTGAAGTGACAGGAGTTGCATGTGCTCAGGCATGCGAGATGGGAAGCCAGTGGCCAGAGGCTGTTGGGCTGCTCTCTGAGTTGCCTTCTGAAGGCAGGGGAAGTAGGCCCGTAACGACTATCGTTTCATGACAGATGTATCTGCCGCGTGCGCAATGTGTGATAGATCTGATATATCTGATCTCGTGTGCGAGGTCAATGGGAGGACGGAGCAGTGGCATACAACCGGGCAACGTATGCCTGCGCAAAGAGTGACGCGTGGGAGCAGGCTCTTCAAGTGCTGTCAGCAGCCTCCGAGAAGCAAGTACGGAGCTACGCCATAACATACAATGCCGCGATCAGTGCATGTGAGCGGCAAGAGGAGTGGCTGCAGAGTCTCTCTTTGCTTTCCATGGCCCATGAACAACTCGTGGACATGGATCTTGGAGGCTATAACATGGCCATGTCTGCCTGCACCAAGTGCAGCCACTGGGAGCAAGCCTTGGACTTAAGCCAAGTGCTGCAGAGGCAAAGGCTGCATGGAGATGCCATTACACTCCAGCTTACTGTGAAGGCTGCCGAGCAGGGGAGCCTTTGGCTCCAGGCCTTGCAGACTCTTTTCCAAAAAGCCCGTAGTTTTTTGCTTTTCTCGCTACTGATATTACTGATGAGGATTTTTTGGTGGGTCCCTAAGTTGCCTTAAGCCTTGCTGAGCCCAGGTGCGTCTCAGAGATGATGGCAAGACGGCTGGAATGCAGTGGCATGACGTGTGGTGCAGCTGTCAGCACGTGCGCATCCCAAGCTCAGTGGCAAGGTGCGCTACATTTGCTAGAAATGCCAGAAGTTGAAGAACAGCATTCTGTCATCACGCTGACCAAAGCCATCTCCGCCTGCGCTAGAAGCTTGCGCTGGGAGCTTGCCCTTGCAGTAGGCCAGGGCCAGGGCCAACAGGGCCAGAAGGGCGAGGACCCACTGGCAGGGCAACCGGACTTGCTGCTCTACACCACCTGGATGAATGCCTTGGAGCGGGGCGCGGAGCACGGGGCAGCCTGGCGGCAGGCCGTTTTACTTCTGGATGGCTTAGTCCAGGGCGGCTTGGATCCAGATCCTCTGATCTGGTCGGTCTTCGTCAAAATTTGCGAGGATGCTGGGCAACCAGCGCTCTCCTTCTTGACGCAGATGGACAGCCAAGATGGTGATGATGGCATGCTCATACTCACTGTGAAAGCGATGGGCAGGCTCACGGGGCATCCTTTTCAAAGCTCTCAGAAGGCTTTCGCTTATTTTTGGCTTGTTTGTTTACATGATCCAATCCTTTCCCCTGAGGAGAGGAGAGTGGCAGCGGGTCCTTCAGCTACTTGACCGAAGTCAGAACGGCACAGCTGAGAAAGCGGTCAATGTGAGCGTATGCAATGCTGTCATCTCCGCTTGCTCTGCAGCTTCCCAGTGGCAGAGGGGCCTGCTTCTCTTTGCATCTCTTCGGGAGGAGAAGGTTCAGGCAGATGCCATATCTTTTGGAGCAGCGATGCAGGCCTGCTCAGAGGCTGGTCGCTGGCAGATCGCGCTGGACATCTTCATGCAGATGGAGCAGACAAAGGTGGAGAAGGATCCAATTAGCTTCAATACCGCCATTGGCACGATGGAAAGCGCTGGTCAATGGCAGCGAGTTCTGGCACTGCTGTCAGACTTGCGGGCCACATTGGCACAGCCAGATCACGTCGCATACGCAAAAGGCATCCGTGCATGTGCCAGAGACTCCAACTGGCAGAAAGGTCTAGAACTCTTGTCATGCCATGCTGATGAGATCGGGGAACCTGACCTGGCTGTTTGGAACGCAGCAGTCAGCGCTTGCGGTGAGAGTGGCGCGTGGCAAATGTCCCTGCAGCTACTTGAAAGCCTGCACAGCCGCCGGAGCAGGGTGGACGTAGTGACCTACAATGCAGCAATGAAGGCTTGTGAGTTTGGCTCTCAAGCCTCACTTGCTCTGTTACTCTTCGAACAGCTGCCCGCAAGGTCGATACAGCGGGACCAGTTCACCTACGCAACAGCAATCGATGCCTGTTCTGGAACATCTGCTGTTGCGCTGCTGGACCAGCTCGAGGCTGAAAGCTCACAGCTTGGCTCGGTGGTTTACACCAGCGCCATGCGAGCCTGTAACCGAGATCATTTATGGCAGGGAGCATGGCAGTTGTTTTCGCGAATGCAAGTAAGAAGTCTGCAGGCAAATCTCATCACATTCAACACGCTGCTGGATGCGTGTGGGAATGGTGGGCAGTGGGAGGGTGCATTGCAAGTTCTTGGCCAACTGCGGACTGCCTGGCTGGAAGCAAACAGCTTCTCGTCCGCACCATGCTAGGCACCAGGTGGCTCACAGCAACAGAATGGCAAGCTAAACATCACAAGAACCGTTTGATGGATTTGGAATTATGTTCTAGCGCAAGATCAGCATGATGTGTGTGGATGGTGGAGCACGGCTCACAACAAGGCTTTCTTGTTTTTTGTTACCGTAGATCGGAACCACGCGACATGTCTGGATTTATCACGTAACTTTCCGGAAAATGTCATTCAATGCGGCGCAAGACTTTATTTGATGCTACAGACAAACGACTTCGCACAATAGCAGACAGAACCTGTTCACAAATTGAGCTTTTGCTGGAAATCGTGTCTCGCCTGCTTCCTTGATAAGTCTTGTGAAATACATTAGGCTGGTGCAAGTTGCAAAGCTCACAAGCGCCAGTCCTTGAGAGACTTTACTCTCCCCGTAACAAAACCTGCTTGCACGAGACGAAGTTTATACTGGGTTGCAAGTTTCGCATTGTGAATTGTGTCGAGTATCTTTATGTTGTTGCATGGCATTGTTTGGTAGCGTGTGCGAGTTCATTTCAAATGCCTGTTCGAATGTTCTTCTTTTTTTTGACTTCACCTGAGATTCTCGCGGGCTAATCGTGCTCTAGTAGACATATGGAGGAAATTGGGAGAAAAAAGGACCAACACCTTGTACAGCAGAATAATTAAAAACCTCAAGCACCAAAGCCTTGAGACTGTCAGGGTTTGGGGTTTAATTAGGGTTTTTAACAAATGCCCGGGTGTCCTTTGGAAAAATGAAAGATGCGAGGGTCATTTGAACTCATTGGTTGTAAGGAGGGAATGGAGAAGGGCTCCCCACAGTAGCTCTGTACATCAGAAACCCTAAATGCCCAGCCTAAAACCTAAACCTTCAAAAATCCTGCTAACAACCAGCAAGTCAATCCTGAGCCCTAAGCCCCAAGGGGTCCTTCTAAACGGGACTATAGCATCTTGGGGTCTATATCGCAGTCCCCTACCCCCCCTAAACCATGGATGGTAGTTTCCAGGTTCTTCTCCATTATCCCTATAACCCCTGTATATAATCCCAATATACGATAGAAGTTTCCCTTTTCTTTTCCA